CCAGAGCAAGAAAATCAGATGCATAGGAAAAAAGTGGCATTGAACTGTCAAAAGTGCTCCAGCATTTAACAGGTCCAAAGCTGCTCTATGGCTTCCAGCTGCGGGTGTCTGCCCTGTCCTACCTACTGCCCCTTGAACCCAGGGCTGAGCCATTCCAGCGTCTGATCTGGCCACTTGCTGCACAGTCCTGGAAAGCTTTCAGCCTGGATTGAAATGTCTCGGCAAGGAGGTGGAGGCAAGGGACGGGAAGTGCGGGTGGGACAGGAGCGCATGGCAAGTTCAGGGCCACCAGGACCAGCCCAGTTTTGCTCCTTCGGTGTTATTCAGCAGCAAAGGAGCAGCATTGCCAGACTGCATAATTTTCCTGCAAGTCTCTTTAGAATAGGTGTCCCTTCCAAGTCACAGGATTTAATTAATACCTCTGTCCTTATTCCTACATGCGTTTACATACACGTTTCAGCCTCCTTGACCAAGAAGAAACACAGAAATACATGTCCTAAACATATCTCAGCATTTACACCAGTTTGGGAGGGAGAGAATGAGGAGGTTTTTTTTTTTTTTTAATGGTCTAACAGGTTTTTAGAAATTTAAGACTAGTAGCCAGGGCTCAGGAAAGCTGAAAACCTGGGCTGAGTTCAGAGCTCTGTCCCCGCAGTTCTGCCCAGCTCTGGGCACAGTGTTCGGTTCCTGATCTCCCTTTCTGGGAATTAAAATTTATTTTCTGTGCCTGGCCTGGAGACCTTACGTCCCTCTGGCTGGGAGCTGCCCCACTGCCAGAGCACGGCCAAAGGAGCCTGAGGACTAAGCGTGCAAGGGACTAATCAGATGAAATGCCTGATCTACGCTGGCCACTATAAAACCAGACTAACTCCTCCAGCTTAGGTGGAACAACTCAGGGTTTGCGCAGGTATAAATGGCAGCAGGATTTGACCCAGAAGTGTTGTGTTTCCAGGGAAAATAAATGTGGACAGGCCAAACATCTGGAAAGGGATGGCTTTGTTTTGTATTAATGTTAACGCAGTTTTGAAAACCAGCTCCCACTTCTGAAGGATTTTTAGCATGGATTTTTTCCAAGGACATGAAAAACTAACTTCTGTTTTACTCAGGATCCCCTTATCAGATCTAGCTATCCATCTGCCTGTCCATTACCACGCCAGCTGCTCAAACATCTACTGTTCCTCTCCATAGGAGCACACTGGGAAAGTGAATCTGAGTTTACTTCTAAGCTGGATTTCATTAACCCTCATTATGTCATTTGCAGTAAGTTTTGCTCGAGAACTGATTGGCCTTCAGCTGGTTTATCTTGCTTTGCAAAGTGAATTAACTTAAAATGAGTGAAGGAAGCTTAATTTTGAATAGCAGTGGTTCTGGGGAGTACGATGAAATGTCATAACCTCCCTTCAGTCTGTGCTTCAGAAGGCTTGAGATGAGGGGGGTCTACAACCTGTCTACAGGTTTCCTTTTCATCTGCAGATCAGTACTGGCTTCACAAGATTTTGTATTCTTTCCTTTGTCTGCCTGTACTACACATTGGGGTTTAGGTCTGCTCCAGCCATCAGGATGTGAAACGCTACCTTAGGTTTTGCGTTACAGATTTACAATGGCCAGTCCCACCAGCAGAGTCAACATAAGTAAAAAAAAAAAAAGAAAAGAAAAAAAAGAGAAAAAGATGTTGCTTTGTATAAAACAGTACTGCAGACCTTCTTGCTTACATTAGGCTTTTAGGAGCGAGTGCTAAGTTCTGTACAAATCCAGAGATTTGATCCAGACATCTGCTCTCATTGCATTTGTAGTCTGATTAATCAAGAGAGACAAATATTAGGGAAATAGAGGCAATGAGAAGAGCAGTTATTTATTCCAATTTATGACACCACTTAATTCTTTCAGGCTACTGCCTTACAAACATCTTTCATTTAGGAGCCTTGTGAGGTGTTGTACATGGCTCTTCCGTGCTTTGAACCAGCTTTGGGGTGATCTTGTGGGTGTGGGTCCCTCCCAGTCCTGACCTCCCAGAGACTCCTCTGCTATGACTGGCTGAGTACCAAGGATAGACCCAAACCTCAAAGGTTTCACAGGGCTGGCCAGAGCCTGCAAGGGAGGCTTGCCAGTAGATGGACATAGCCTACAACTTTCCTCACCCCCTTCTATGCTGCGAATCACAAAGCACCTAGAAGGTATGATCTGCGTCGCCCATGCAAATCCAGGGTAGAAAATTAATGTAGGAGAAGGCTAAGTGTACTGTTCTTTTAGGGGGAAAAACAGGAAAGAACAAAAGCAGTATCATCCTAGTGTAGCTGGGATGGGTACCCTGAAATTACACCCATTCCTGCCAAACTGACCCGGAGAAAGTTCTTCCCCTTCTAAGGCTTTATCTGGCAGTGGATGTCCCGGATGTCTGAGCGGGACGCACAAGATAAATACCCAAGAAGCACATCAGAAAATTAAAGCAGCCGTATTGCATTAGGTCAAAGCTCCGTACGCTGTAACAACCAAAGCATTTGTAGAACAAGCTCTGCCCAGAGTTGCACCCCCAGCTCCCCGAGGCCAGCGCGCCTGATGGGAACACGCCAGCTTCACGAACCAAGACCGACCAGCGAGTGCCTTTGAGGGCCAGGTATCACCGTGTATCAGCAAGCAGAGGAGGGTAAAGCAGGCTCTGGGCAAAGCCCCCTCCTTGTCCCCCCTCTTCTTGTCCCTTGACCTCTGGGGGCCTTACAGGAGGAGCAATCTAATCTTCCCAGGATGATGCTCACAGGCTCTTTTTCCTCAGCCCTCAGTCTTTGGGGGGCAGATGCTGTCAGCCCCCAGCCCCGCCTGAGGCAGCCCCCTCTGCGCGTGGGCGTGGATTTAGGTAGGATGTTTACAGAGCCTGATGCCGAAGGCCTGCGTGCAAGAGATGGAAACAGCACGGCACGGGTGATGGCGGGTTGCAGTTCTTAGAAAGAGAGGAGTCCTTGGGACTTTTAACTCCTGGCAGTATTTTCCAAGAGGAAGGTGTCAGGAAACACAGCACTGTTTTGCCATTGCCTGAGTGTTATATTTACCTATGCTTCTATGTCCTAACGGGAGCAGCTTTTAAAAATTCTATACCAGCATTATTTACTAGGATGGTTTTTCCCCTTGGGTTACAGCCTCATCCCCACAAGCTGGGGCACACCACCCCAGAAATCGCTGCCTTCCTGTATGTGTGTGACGTAAGCAATTGCAGCGTGCGCTTCCCGTGCCACGTACGCAGATGATTGCTTGTGGCATCTTGTAAGAGGTGTTGCTCGGGACACTAATTGCTGAGCAAACTGACTTACACGGAGCAAGGCTGGTGGAAGAAACTGCTGATGCAAAGGAGGTTTTGCATTCAGATCACCTGCATTATCTAGGAAGCTTGTGTCCCGCTGCTCTTCCCATGCTGAGGTTTAACCTCATTTCTCCCCATCACTGCAGGTGGATGCTGATGATGTCATCACCAAAGAGGAGCAGATCTTCCTACTGCTAAAAGCCAAGGCTAAGTGTGAACGACACCTGAAAGCCAAGGTGCATGGTGAGTGTTCCCACAGCAGCCCAGCCTGCATGGCTGGGGCTGGGCCCCTCTCTGGTCAACCCCACCCCTTGCCCTCAGCCCCATACGCAGAGCTCGGAGCACGTGATGGAGACAGCTGAAGAAGGCCCAACAGACTGTTTATTCAGGTTAGGCTATGGGGAAGATCTTGCAGCACAAGGTGTTGGAAAGCAAAGTTGTCACAGCCTCCTTCTCCTGCTCCAGAAAACCAGATGCCAAGGGAAGGATGCAAGAGTTTATAGTTATAGTGATGGGGGTTTACAGCACTCATCGCTACACCCAAAGCCCAGGCAAAGCATGGGAGATAGCATCAACCATCAGTTCTCCCAAGATCCTTTGCAGCAAGACACTACTGGTATGGGAAACAAAGCGTTCTTCCAACGCCCCTTCTCTGCTTCCCTCTGACATACTCTCGCTATATTCTCCTCAAATGGGCCCAAGCTTAGCTAAGCCTCTTTCTTCCACTTCCTTTCTATTTTGGGATGCAAAATTGCTACCAGATGTAGGGCTGGAGGGAGAAGGAAGGGAGAAAGCTCTCTCATGTGGGTAGCAAAGTAATCATCCCCCATTGGTTTCTTTCATCAATTTCACATGTGTTAATTATTGGCACCAGGACTGTCTGAAGCACCCTGCACGCACCCAGCCAGTCCTGGGTGGGCGTCCTGTCCCGTTTCCCTCTGTTGCCTGAGAGAAGGAGACAAGCCAGATTGCTTCCCACCTTCACCGTTGCGTCTTGGAAATCTCTCTTCCCACAGCCAGCACTGTGGGAGTACCTGGAGACACCACCAGCAGCGGGAAAGGTGCCCAAAGTCAGCAGTGGTTTTAGAGCAGAGTTGCCTGCCCACCTGGTGTCCCTCTCCTGTTGGGAATGACAGCAAGGCGCCATAAGAGCCCAGCTTTCATTTTATTCCAGGCCTCTGGCTTTACATCAACCAAAACCTCAGGCCACATCCTCTGTTGCTTCTTTGTCCTGTTCACCCAATGCCCAATTAACACCTCATTAAAAAGCATATGTGGAAAGGCATTTCCTTCTGTTGTACTCTAGACCACCTGCCTACCTTGGGATCTGGTGATATCAACCAGCTGGTCTTGCTCTCACACCCTATTTTCTAACTTTTCTCTGTGAGACTGTCAGCATTTAGCATTGATCTCCGTCCTTAATTGTCAGCAGCAGTGTCCCTAAGGCTGGGGAGGGAGACGTGTATGACTGACAAGCAGCCTTTGGCCTCTTTACCACCACCAGTTTGGCAAAGGAATCAAACCACAGGGCTTTGCGAAGATGCCCTTGGTCTTGTTTTGAGACCCGGTTCTGTGACTGAAGCAAGCATTAACTCTTCCATTGACTGGAACAGAAAGAAATCTAATACATTGTCATTTAGATATCTCAAATAGTACAGCCAAGAGGAGGAATTGCCTTGATGCCAATACTCACAGCAGTATGTTCAAGGCGTTAAAAGACTCAAGGCAATCGTTAGCAATAGATAGTTAGAACTAATTAATCTGCAAGAGGTCTACTAATCTGAAGGCAGAATGAATTCTGGTTTAACCTTTCCCCAAGAAACTTTTTCTTAAGATACTGTGAAAGAACCTCCAGTGGCAGCATGTCTGTAACACCCCAGAAATCCGCTCTGGCACTTCACAAACAAGGCAGCAAGTTGCCAGACCATCTCTGAGATGATCTAATGAGTCCATGGTCGCAGATAGAGAATTTTACAGTTTGGAAAAGACCTTCCAAATTTGCAGAGGAGCTGCCATGCACAGATTTTTAGACCACAGATGCCCTTGGACACATGAAATGATGATGTTACAGGGCATTTGTGAACAGATTAAGCCAATCTCCAGGAGCATTTCTGCTCCTTCATGCTCCAGGACTCGAAGGAAGTGGATTGTTTTAGACCCTATTGTGGGGTGAAGGCTGACAGAACGAAAGGCTGTAATCTGCACTGTGTTAGCTTTAATGCAATTAATTGCTTGGCTAAGGCTCAGAAGCTTAGTTTTTGCACAAAGGCTTCAGAGCCCAGGGTGAAAAGTGGTTAGGTCCAGTCCTTTCCTCCTTTGATGATACGGAAACTGGGGTCTGGTTTCTATTTGCGCTAATCACCCAAGGACATGTGGGTCTGTGCCCTTCTCAGCTAGATGGAGAACCTCATCCCATTGCCTCTTCCCTCACTACAGACCCAAAAGAAAAAACCTGTGCAGGGCAACATGGTCTTCACAAGTAAGATGCACCAGTCCCCACCTGCAGACAGAATTTATAGGGGCAAAGTGGTTGTGGCTTGGAGTGATACAAATCCTGGGTGGCCACCCCAAGCCTTCAGTCAGTCTCCTGCGATATTGCTTACAGTATTTCTAAGGAGTGCCTGCTTGGGTGACAGGAGGACTCCTCTAACTGCCATGGAGGACTTGAGTTGTGTTACCACCCTGCCAGGTTTCCCATCTGTCTTGTCTTTGGATTTTCAGTGGTGTAGGACAGAGTTGTCCCTCACAATTCATTTGTGTTCTGGCTCTGCAAAACCCGGCAGGCAGAGAGTTATGTCCAGGTCCATTTGACCCTCTGCTTGATACTAACAGCAGCCCATAGCATTGATGTGCCACTATATCTATACACTATTGCCTGCTGGCAATGCAGACTGATGGTCCCCACAGCAGGTGCACAAGGGACCTTGTCTCTCTGCAAGATCTCCCATGTGGCAGCCAACCGTGCCCCTTTCCTGTCCTGACAGTTCCCAGTGCCTCCCAAAAACAAGGCTAGAGGCTCAGCCCCTGCCCCTGGATTTTGTTTTTCTTTTCAGCAGCATGATGAATAGGTCCCGCTCAGAAGGCTGCTTCTGCCAGAGCAGAACAGACTTACTGTATATTAGAAATGGGGCAAGCCCCACTGAGAAGTGTGTTTGCAGATCACAGGGAGCAGTGCACCCCTTGGCCTGAAATGATTTATTGATCTGGCTAGTATTCAAAGAACAAAACGAACAGGCACAGTCTAGACACTTTAAAGTATTTTTAAAACAAGCAAACAAACAATCAATCAATCAAAAAAAAATACCAAAACAAACAAAAAACCCCCAATAACAATGGAAGTGACCACAAAAAGAAATGAACCAACCAGGTTCAAGATGTAATGCAGGAGGCATCATACGCTCCTGATTCAATCTACCTATGTTAAATTTAGCTTCTGGAAGTCTTCTAAATGGGAGAAACCATTCCCGTGTGGTTGATAAATGCCCACGAGAATCATACATGAGACCCTGGAAACTTTGCACAATCTGCTCGCTCTGTAATAAAGCAGAGCTACTCCATGACCTCCTGGAGGACTTCAAGGTCAAACGATCTGCCTTTCAAAGGGGGTAGGAGGTTACGGTTTCACCTGATGGAAGTGACAGTGGCACAGTGAACGTCAGCCGAAGAAGTCACCCATAAAGCAAAAGTTGTGGTCATTGGGGCTGTTAAGAACTTGAGCCAAGGTGGTCACAATGTTGGTGATAGTCTTGTGGAGTAGAGGTGGATTACTGATGACCTTGAACACCTGAGCTTGTTCTAGAGCTAGTAGACAGAGAAGAGCATCTTTTGGGATGGCATCTGTCTCCAGATATTGATCACAGATTAAACTCAGGATGGCTGATTTAGATGGACTACTTATGCTGCAGTGTGATATGGTTACTGATGATGATGATGTGAACCCTAGGAGGGTAACCTGGCACTAAGATACTTTACCTGAACATGTGGTAGGATCGCCATGTTCAGAGGTTTTCAAGAGTTGGCTAGACGAAGCCATGACTGATCTGACCACATGCTGGTTTTGAAGGATGAAGGTTGGAGAAGAGATATTCAGAGGTGCCTTACAACAAGCTTTTCTATGATTAGTCTTGCCCAGGGGATTTAGGATCACAAGCCAGCAGCATTCAGGCTCCTTGGGGGGATTGCTTCCTTCCTGTAGACTTGAAGGCTCAGTTATCAAAGTCTGGTGAGGGCCTAACTACAATGCAGCAGGTACAGAGCTGGACAAGGAGAGAAGGGATTCATCTGCCTTTTACATTGGGAAAGAATAGGAGCCTTACATGTTGCCTCTCTCTTTTTTCTTTTTTTCTTTTTTTTTTTTTGCATGTCGTTTCCACTTATTTTGCATGTTCAAATCAGTGCTTGGTTTGTCATTCCAAAGAAGGAAAAAGGACAAGTCCACAAAGAGTTTTGGGGAGGTCATCAACACATCAGACAGTTGTCAAAGGATGAGACTTCTTCAGCCTTTCTTACATACTAGTTTGTGATGAGGGAAAAGATTCACATTCAGTTCTGCTTGAAGGAACTTAAATCTATATTATTACTTCCCAGAAACAATGCTTTACTGCCTAGCATGTCAAAGGTGAAAAAAGAGATTGAAATCTCTTCCATTAGTCCTACTTCATTGTGTCTGAAAGTACCAAAAAGCACTGGGGTAAGAGCTGCATCTCAGCTGCCCGACCTCATGATCTGCTTGTAGAGCCAGTATCATTCTGGGACCATTATAGCAGCCTCCAGCATGGAGCACCTGTAACGGTGGGACACCCCAGCAGACAGCCCTGGGGTGCAGGATGTTTGGGAAAGGAGAAAGTTCCTACTTAAAAGACTTGGCTCGAGTCAATAAGGAATGGCTTTGGACTTGAGAGTCCCATCTCTCCAGGGAAACTCTTGACCACAGAGGTTACAGGACAAGGGGCCTTTGACCCCATGGCTGTTTTAGAGCTGCCTTGCACTGGATACTGACGCAGCTCTGCAACAAGCAAAGGCTGCTCTGCAGTCTGAGGCCTGGCTCTCACGTTTCTGGTCTGGGGTTTTGTCCTGCTCAGTGTCCAATGTTATAGCTTGTGAATGGAGTGAAAAGAGGATCTCTCAAGATGCATCCGTTGCTGTGGGCATGCAGAGATACTTCCCTCTCATGACCCTCTAAGCCATGAGAAATAAGGATGTACACTTCTGCAGACAGCTTGTTTCTCCAAGCATTTGGCAGC